AAATTGCTCGTGGCACCACCTTTCAAGAAATAGTTTTTGAGGAAGCCATTCCTATCGACCAAGAAATTTTACCAAGAGAACAATGGAAACTAAAAGACTTTATTGAGAGTTTAAAAAGAAATAGTGATAGCCCGTTAAAAATAACCTTTTTAGCCAATCCCTACTATTTTAGCATGTATTTTTTGGATAATTTTCCTCATCTCCAATCTTTACGAAAAGAAGCCGAGGAATTAAAAAGAAAAGGAGACAATAATGGAGTAAAAGCCGTTAGTCCTGATAAACAGTGATTTTTATATCTGAACTTATTGCCAGGAACTCCCGACCCCCACAGTTTAGCCTTGGAGGAAAAAATTAATCCTAGTCAGAGGAATTGAGACGACTTTATGACCGAGCAACCTAATAAATATAAAATCCTCCATGCCATCCAAGACTTTTATTTTTGTGAAGCAGGAGAGAGAAAAGTTTTTAAGAAATATTGTCTAATACATTTTACGAAAAATAAGAAAGAAACTTCATCCGAACTAGTAAATTTCTGTTTTGATAAAGAGGAATTGGCTAAAAGCAAATTAAAAAATAGTGTAATTAGAGAGAAAAAGGGATTGATTATGAAATGAATTAAACTCTTAAAGCAGGAAATGTTGAAATTTACTGATTATCGGAGTAGAGATTGATTTTTAGAGCAATTGAAAACAAATGGCTAGTATAAGTATCGATCCAGGAGGTAAAACAGGAATTTATTATAAAAATGGAGAACAAGAACAATTTTTAGAGATAAATAAGCCATGGAAGGAAACTTATTTAGATATTAAAGAGTTGGTGAAGGAAAAATTGATTAATTTACTGCTTTTTGAGAACACCAACTATATTCACAAAAGGACCAAAGACGGGCTTAATTTATTCAGATTGTTGGGGGCTATTGAATGTTTGGAGGTTCAGCAAGTAAAAAGTGTCAATGTCTTGAAAGTTAAAGAAATGACAAAAAGATTATTAAATGGCATTTATCGGATAAAAGAAATAGAGTATAAAAAAGGTCGGGGGAATGGTTGAATGTATAAAAATAAAAGAATTAGTATTCACCAATTAGAGGCATTTTTGGTTTATTATTTATTCTCCCAACAACATCTTTTTTAACATTTGGTTAACTTTTTGTATTTCCTCTTTGTTTATTTCTCCTAATTTTCTTAATAATCTTTGTTTATCAAAGGAACGAATTTGGTCGAATAATATTTTGCCGTCTCTATCTTTTACTAGTCCCTTAATTACTAATTGTCAATCGTGAACCTGTTGAACATTAGAAGTGATCGGCAAAGCAATCACTCGGGACCAGGAAATAAAAATAATCAGGGCTGGTCGGATTTTTCTAATCTCTGTGCCGATAGTGGGGTCAAAATTGACCCAATAAATCTCTCCTCGTTTAATTATTCTCTCGGCCATTATCGGGCAATTTTTCTCACTCAGTAATTAATTCCTCATCACTTAATTTTTCTCATTCTTGGAGAACCTTTTTTTCTTGGGATTTTCAGTTTTTTTCTTCTTCGTGATAAACTTCATAATCAACCCGCTCTTGCTCCAAAAACTTCTTTATTTTTTCACTCTCGCGAGTTCTAATAATAATTAATTCAGTCATAATATTTATTTTACCCCAAATTCCTTTGGTGATAAACCGGATGATTATTACTACTCAAACCTCCTAAACTATGAATAATAGACGGATAATCCTTCCATACTCAATCCTCCCTCAAAAATAATTCCACATATAAATTTCTGGGATTTATATGATTATATCCTTGAATAGCATATACTCTAAAATATTTTTGATGGAAATTTACCACTCCTAAATAAGGATTATTCAAACTAAATCCTTTTCTATTTTGAGTAGCCACTATCAATCCTCTCTCACTATCCTCCTTAATGGCTCCTAACTGAAAAAAAGGTTTACCACCAGTAATATTTTCAGAGCCTAATAAGAAAAAGTTTTCGATTTGTTCTTTAAAATTAATTAACAGACATTTTTTTCTTTTCCTACAATCCCAGCCTTATCGACCAGGATTTCAGGTCTCATCTGTCTATATAATAATTTTATAATCAAATTGAGATATGGTGGGTGGATATAAATTAAAAATATTATATAAAGGAAATTAAAATTATGTCAGATCCAATTATTAAATGTAGCAAAAATAATCCTTGCCAAACTTGTCAGGAGGAATTACAAAGAAAATTATCGGAATGTAAAGATTGAGAAACCAAAAGAAAAGAATATTTAAAAAGTTGGTTTCCTTATCATGATGAGGATGGCAATTATATTAAATATTCAGAAACAGGAGGTTATAATTTGTGTGCTTGTGGATTTGAAAAGTCTAATAGCCATGGTGATATAAATCCTGATAGTCATAATTGCTCCAATACCAATAATCCACAAGAGAGAGAGAGAGAGAGAGAGACGATTTTATCCTACTTCAAGCAACACCATATAAAATCAGCCAAATTAGAAGGGGACAAATTAATAATTGAATATAACGATCAGCGAAAGGAAACCAAGGATATAAATAATAGTAAATTAGAAAAAATAAAATCTTATTCTCAAAAATTAGGCAAAAATGAATTATTTTTATCAGATTTAGAAAGTAGTTCGAATACTGGTTCTCCTGAAAAAAGTAATAAAGGCCTTTATATTGGATTAGCCGTCGTAGTGGGGGTGGCAGTAGTGATAATTATTGCTTGATTATTAATGAGAAATAAGGAGGAAAAAGCAATTGAATAGTTATGCTCGATTTAATTGTAATTCTTATTATTTTAGGTCTGATAATCTCCTTTTGAGTTGCCGTTTACAAGTTCTTTTTCGGAAAATATTGTCGATATTGTAAAAAGGAATTGTTAACTGTGAGTGAAAAATGGAATAGAGTTTGTGTGGAATGTGAAAAAAATAAAAAAAATTAATGGAAGAAGATTTATATAAAAATTTAAAAATTAAAGGATTTACTTGTGTTTGTGAATGTCAATTTCACCAGATTAAAAAGTTAGGGATAAATGAAATAAACATTCCCGATTTAAAGACCAAGAAAAGAATAGGAGTAATAAAAAGGTTAGCAGTAAAGGACAAAAAGATTGAAGATAAAAAAATTAAGCCAATAGAAAGGGTTGAAACCGAATCAATCACATTTAAAAAATTTGCTTATTGATATGAGATAATGGGACAATGAGGGGAGTTAGTTGTAGTTCTAGAAAAATCGGAGAAAATAATCAATAGTTTAGAAGAAATTGAGAAAAATTTAGACATTATTAAGTTCATTCAAGGAGAAGATGAAGAACTTAATGAATATAGAAAAAAAGTTGTATCGTTAGGAATAAAGAGTTTATTTGAATTAGGAAAAATTTCTTATTGAGATAAAACTATTTACATTCTTTTAAACACTAGTTCTACTGGTAAATCTGCTGGGGTTTCTCTGTTAATTTCTTTTTATAGTGCTTATTATGGAATAGGAATTCCAAATAATTTTTCAGCAACTGGTGAAGTTAATACAGAAGATGGAACCATAAAAGGAATTGGTGGCTTAAAAGAAAAATTTCTTTGTGCAATTAGAAACAAAAACATAGATAACTTGGTTCTACCACAAGAAAATTATGAAGAAGTTCTAGAAATTTCTAGTGCCTACTCTAAAAGATTTATCGGTGTTTCTAAAAAATTAAAATTTTATCCAGCAAGTCATTGAGAAGATTTGATAAATTTACTTTTTCAAGTGGAATAATTAACCTTATTTATTTTCTCTACACTCCTTGCATTTTCCCGTTCTTTCCTCCTGTAAGGGGATTTCTTTTTTACAATTAATACAAGTATAAGTTTCTTTCATAAGTCTTTTTACTTTTAATCAAAATCCTCGGGATTTTCAGGTTCATTATCTCCTGGGTCCCTATCCCCACTATCAGGAGTAGCATCAGGGTCAGTTGTCGGATCAGTATCAGGCACAGGTTCAGGCTCGGGTATTTCAGGTTCAGGAGCATCAGGTTCAACAGGAATATCTGGCTCTTGGTCGGGAGTAATATCAGGCTCAATAATTATTTCAGGTTCTCCTCCTGTGGGGTCCATATCAGGAGTAGGCATATCAGGTTCGGGTTCCATGGTATCGGCTCCTGGTTCAGGTTCAGGCATGGTGGGGTCAGATAAGGGGATTTCAGTGTCTCCTCCTGCTCCTGGGGGTGGGGTTCAGTCCAAATTATCAAAATTATCGTGTCCTGGTTGTTTTTGAATAACAATTTTGGTTCGGTCTTGTTCTTTAAAAATAAATTGATTTTCAGTAATCGTTACTGTATATTCTACTCCTGCTTTTAAGTCTAAATCTTTGATTTCACTAGAACTGACATCCAATTTTAATAACACTTGACAAGCAGACGAAGGAGTAAACTTGGTGGAAACGAAATTATGTTTTTTTAATTCGTCATAAGTGCAGCCCCAGCAAAAACCCTTACTGGAACTATAATGGAGGCCACCAGCATTACAACCACTAGAACTAACCACGGCATTTTTAAAATCGTCCATGACACTTGAATTAGTAAGACGGATAAAAGTGGAGTGTCCGTAGCCTCGTTGGTCGGCTGTGTAAGGGATATTAATTGTAATTCCTTCTCCTGGTTCAACTATGGTTTGGGCTGTGTAATTTTCTCCTCCTGTTCCTGAATATTTAATTTGGTCGGCTATCTCTTTAACTCCTAATTTAGGGTTAGGAAATTCCGTTTTATCTTTATTATCGTAAAAACTAACTCCTCGGGCAAAACATTCGGCCATTCGTCCTCCTGGGTCATAATCCAGAGTTAATTTGCCTTGCCAATAACCTTTTCTTAAAATATTACCTAATTTTTCAAAAGTAATATTTAATGGGTAAGTGATGGGGTTTTCGTTATTGTTATGGATTAGATTATTCAGCAAATTATTACTGGAATATATCCGAGCAAAAAAAGGGTCTTTTTCATTTCTTAATCAGTAATCAAACAAATTATAAGGAAAAGTTATTGTATTAGAATAAAAAATAGAAGGTTCGATAGTATTATTCAAAACTTCGGCATAGGTAGATTTAAATAGCCTTTCGGTGTGTTGTTCTTGGACTTTGCCTGTTCTTTCTTTACCCAAGCCCATTTTTTCTCAATTGGCTTGTCCTGATATCATACCACTGGCTAAATCTTCCATGGCCTTATTTTCATCACCACTTAAATTAATAGTGCCAGCCGAAAAGACTTTAAGAAGTGTCCCACCTATTTTTTGGGCTGTTTTTTTTAGAGCCTCGATGGCTTCCTTAACAGCATTTAAGTTAACTATTCCTTGTCGAACTTCTATTTTTCATTTAAAGAAGATATGACCACTCCGAAAAAAAAGAAAAGTTCCTGATGGGGCTGCTCTTGTTTTTCAATCTACCTCAATCTGATAATTATCATTAATTCTCAAAAAGGGTAAATTAGCCGAGAATAAACACTCATTTAAGAAATAAAATTGGAAAGTAGCATGTTCGACTAAATGGGGCTGTTCTTTTCAGATTTGTAAGAATTCATTAGGGAAGGTAATTTTTACTTGTTTTTCTCGAACATAAAATAATTCACTGGTGCTATAATCACTAGGAGCAATAAAGGTTTGATAAGTTTTTTCATTCTCGATAAAACTACTCCAAAATCCCAAGTCTACTTTTTGAACTTCATAAAATCCTGGGACAGCAATTTCCGTATCGGGGATGGTTCGACCTCCACCCAGATTCATTCTCTGTTTTATTTTAAATAAGGCAAAATTAATTTTTTCCGGTCAAATAATATCGATTACTTTCTTATTTCCTAAATCTTGGCAAAAGGGAAAATGGAGGGTTTGTCTTTTAACCATATAATCCATTTAAATCTCAACCGATTTTCCCCAACTATTTTTTTATATTATACCCACCTTTTATATCTCAATTTTATATCCCCAAAAAAACCTCTATCCCCCTCTCTACCAACATACTAAAACAAAAATATAGAACAAAAATGTAATCAAAAACTATGGTAAACATCAAAACTACTCTGGACGAGTTAAAAAATATCATCAACGACCTAAAATCTCATGCTGAGAATGCTAGTGCTTGGAATACTACTGACAAATCTAATTTAGAAAAACGGATCAACCATTTATTAGACAAAAGTAATCCAAGACACACCAATTTAAGCCAAGATTTAGACACCGATTTAAAAGATATCGAACAAATTGATAAATCAATAGGAGCCGAAAAGATAAAAACCGACCAAGAAATCAAAAAACTCCAAGACGAAAAAACCCAACTCCAAACCGATATCACGGCCAAGGATGCTCTTATAAAACAAAAGAATGAGGAAATCGGTGATAAACTAACCTCCGACTTCATTACCAAATTAGAAAACCTAACCAAAGACGGAATAAAACTTGATGACACTAAAATTAACGAGATTAAGACCATTATTGAGGAGATTAAAAATAAAGGCCTCACAGCCAATTTAACCGATACCAACACTAAATTAGAGGAAATGAAAGGGAAAATAGATAAGATACAACCCGACAACAAAACTATTTACTGAATTATCGGACTAACTGCTGGGGCTGTCCTTAATTTACTCGGAATAATTTATTTAGTAATTACTCGGAATAACAACAATAATTCCCCAAGCATGTATACAAGTAAATATTACCAAAAAGACGAACCAGAAGAATATGAACCAGGAAAATAAAGAAAAAATTACCCCCATTAAAAATAGTGAGGACCACCAAAAACTTATAGATAAATACGAACAAGAAATCGAACAGCATAAACAGGCCACTTTGGACTGAAAAAATGCTGCTATTAAAAAAGATGACATTATTCTCGAAAAAAACAAAGCCATCGAGAGATTAGAAACTGAACGAGATGACTGAAAAAAAGAAGCCCATGCCTCTCGTAGAGTTCAACAAGAGAGCAAACAACATAAAGAAACTACTGACTTTTTAACCGAATTTAAAAAACTCCAAGAGCAAAAAGGAATTAAATTAGATACCGACAATTAACAATTATTAACTAAATATGAATAACTTAAATCCAATATTAGAAAATTTAAAGCAAAGAACCGTTCAAGAAGCCCCTGTCAAATTAATTTATGCCAAAAATGATTTTGTGGTTTTTGATAAAGGCACCTCCGACTTTTATGGAGCCGAGGATGAATATATCTCCGACCAACCCCTAGAAGGAGTAAAGTGGAATAAAGAACTCACGGAAAAAGATTTTAAAACTCTCCCACCCGTATTCTCCTGTAAATTAGGAATACTCATGGATGAAGTGTTTAATACTATTTTCCATAAAAAGAAAATGAGACAGGCTTTACAAAGTCCAAGCCATCAAGCAGCCTTAATTGACCGACTAATTGATAGTATGAAAACCAAGGCCATTACAGCCCTTAACAAAAAAATAGTGGAGATTATTTGTGATAAGGATAATTACAAAGATACAGCCTGAAAAGAAATCACAACCCAGCAAGCCACAATTGACAGTCTGGATAAGGCTATTGCCATTTTGAAATTAATCAAAAGTGCTTATAATGGCATGGATGAAGTAAGCAGCAATTATAATAAAGGCTATCAAAAGCCAGGAAGTCATGATTGAAACGAAGTAGAAACTAATTGTGAAACTAGACAAAGTAAAGTCTTAACCATTGACCCTGACTTTTTGGATGATTTAGAAATATTCTTTTTGGCTGATGTGGCCCGAGATAGCAATTTGAATCCTTATAAACTTTTTAAATCCGTGATTGTTAAAAAGTTAGAAAATAATGTCCTTGCCACTATCCATGATGAAAAAAGTGTCGTTTACCGAATTATCAATCCGGACGAAATCCAACATGAAAAAACCCTAGGAGGAGGCATGGAAAAGTTTGCTTACCACGTGGAAGTAGTTGGGGGTATGATACCTTTTACTAACTCTTGGGCTTTGGTAAAAAAGAACTAATATTAGTATGCTAATCTTACGGGGAGAAATAGCCAAACAACGGGCCAGAATACGAACGGCTAAATTAGAACAGGATTTAAATAGCATTTTACAAGAATGGTCCTGACAAAACCAACCCTTCACTTCGGCCCAGGATTTTATTAAGAAAATGAAACCTTGAATTGAGGAAAGAATAAAACAACAAGCCGAAGTCAAGGATTTTTTAAAGAAGTGGAAAATTAAGAGATTAAGTGAAATAAAAGGGATTGAAAAGTAATAAACATTATGTCCTACCGAGAATTACAATTACGACAATTAATTAAGAATGATTATATTCCCAAATCAGAAAGGGACCAACTGCTGACCCAACACCAGCAAGAAGTCCAAGAACTAAAAAAAGCCCGAGCCCAAGATTTAATTGACAAATTACAAAAAGATTTAGGGATTAATTTTTTATTGGATTATTCAGAAGTAGTAAAAAAATTACAAGGCCGAACTGTGGAGCAATTATTAAATGAGGAGGGGCAGAAAGACCAACAATGGGAGCAGGAAAAAACCCAAGCCACCCAACATATTCAACAATTAAATAAACAAATCACAGCCCTGACTATTTTGGCTGAAAAAAGAAAAGAGGATTTAGACCGAGAAAAACAAGCCCTCATTCAATTAGCCAAACAAAAAATAGCCAATAAAAAGGAGGCTGTTGAGTTGGTGAAAAATTTGGGGGAGAAGTGAGAAAAAGAAAGAGAAGAATGAGAGCAAGAGAAGGAAGAATTGACCGAACAATGAAGCCAAGAGAGAAAAAAATACGAGGGACACACACTAGATTTAACCAAAGAAAATAGACAAATACGAGCCAAATTAGTTGTGAAAGATGAAGAAATTAAACAATTAAAAAAAGAAAAAGAGCAATTGAAGCAGGAAATACAAGAAAAAAATAATTGAAAGGATGACAATTTACCCCAACTTAAACAAGAATTATTTAGCCAAGCCCAAGAACTTTTTATCCAATTAAAAGACCAAATAAAAAAGGCTACTATTGCTTTTGGTCGTTCTGAAATTGAGAAAATATTAGGAGAATTATACGATTACTTTGTAGAGAGAGAGAGAGAGAGAGAGAGAGACGAGAATAGCAACCGAAACGGAAAATGATGATGAAAATAAACCCTTATCCCGAAAACAAAAAAGAAAGTTAAAAAAACAACAGCAATCTCATGAATAAAAAACCAGACCAAAAATCTTTATGAAAAGCCCAAATATTAGAGTTTTTTCATAATTACTTCATTGGCATCTCTAATTTAGAATGTTCGGAAGAAAACTGCCCCCTAGTCTACCACTGAAACGACCTGGAAAAAAAACAATCCAAAAAAGGCAAAGGGGCTTTATATTTAGTAAGTAAAAAAGATAATAAATGAGTAGTAGTAGATTTAACTAAGTATGAGGAGAATGACCTGGGAGAGTATGAAAATATTGAAATCCAATTTAAATCGGGCAAAATATTACGGACTAGACCCAAAGATTATGTAGAACCCAAAAAGAAGGAAATTTTTCTCAAAGATGAAGAAATTACTCTCTTTTTCAATAATTCCACCAAAACTCCTAATTTATTAGATGCCGAAACTATTTATTTAGAGGATTTATGAGATATTAGAGAGAAAATCACCTGGGACCGAGAAAAAAGCAAAAAAAAAGTATTTTTAAGATGTGAAAATGACCCCTCGGAAGAAACTCAAACCAAAAAAATTGAGGCTTCTAATCAGGATTATTTATTCTATATTGCCGACCCCTCAATTACTAATGAAATTAAAGAAATGGTGGTCTATTCTCCCTCCAAAGGCCCCGAGGAAAGAAATAGATTATACCAAGATTATAAAGAGGAATTTTCTGAATTACGAAGAGTTTATGGCATTAGACATTTAACCAGCAAAAAAGAGGAAAGACAAAATAATCCTGAAATAGAACTCAATGAGGCCCAATTTGTTGCTTTGGAAAGAGACAAAAAGAGGGAAAGGGAAAAAAGTATTTGGGAATTTGAAAATAAAGGAGGTTGTCAAGGAGAGCATATTTTAAGTTATGGAACTTCTCCCGAACAGAGAGAGGAAAAAGTTTTGGAGGTAAAAGAGATGGAGGAAGTGAAGGAAGAAACCCGAGAAAAGAAGTCGGAACAAAAAGAAACCGAACAATCCGAAAAAGTTAAGGAAATTTTAGTAAATAATTATGGAAAAAATTAATTGCTGCCATGTGGCTATTGCTGGACTTATTGGCTGATTAATAAGTTCAACCATTCAGCATATCAGAATAGCCAAAATAAGAGTAAAAGAAATGGAGTTAGAACTCCGAACCAAAGAATTAGAGAAAAAGAACGGAACGGAGATGAAAAAGATGGAAGAGTTAAATAAAAAAATTGAGGAATTAGAAAAGAAATTAAATCAAAATGACAAATAAACAAGAATTTCAGCAAGAATTAAAAGAGAAAATTAAGGAGGGAGTAAAACCTTCCGACCTAAAAAAGCAAAAAACAAACTCCACTCAATTTACCCATGGCATTCCTACTCCTCCCCCTAGTCCTGTTTTAAAACCTACTAAAACCAACAATCTAAAAGAATTACAGCAGCAAGTCCAATTCCATGCTCGGGAGGCCCAGAGTTATTTATCTAGTCTAAAAAAATTAACGGCTGAAAATGATAATTTGAAAGAGGAGATAAAAAAAATAAAACCTACTAAAACTCAAACAGAATTAGAAAAAGCCCTCCAAGAGGCTAATGAGAAAATAAGAAAATTAGAACAAAAGAACGACCCCGAACATATTTTAGAAAAACACAATCCTTATAAAGAAAAAGTAAAGGAATTAGAGACAAAAATCCAAAATCAATACAAAACTATTGAAAACCTCCAAAACCAAGCAAAAAATAAAGAAAAAGACCAAGAACCAAAATTTACTTGCTATAATTGTCAAAAAGAACAAGCAATCTCCTTACTGGTCCTCAAAATCCTCGACAAAGGCCCCTTATGTAAATCCTGCTGACAATTATTTCGACAACAAACTAAAAATAAATCTACTAAATTCACCTGTCATAATTGTCAAGAAACCAAGACAGAAAAAGAATATCAAGTAAAATTAGATGCTTCCGATAAATTATATTCTATTTGCCCTACTTGCTTACCAAAAGTAAAAGAATATAACGAAAAAGAAGCCGACTCTGAAAGAGAATTAGACATTTGAGAATAATATGCCAAACAACGAAACAAAATCAGTCCCAAAACAATCACTAGCCCGTTTATTCCCAGGAGGATTTAATGAGTTTTGAACTAAAACTGAAATAAAAAAAGATTTAGAACAAATCATTTATGAATATATTCCTGCCACCAACACTACCGAGGAATTAAAAAAAACCCTAGCCAGTGGAGGTTATGGACTATTAGCCAGCCCCATTGCCAAACATTATTTTGACCGATATCAATATCGAACCTTTGAACCTCACGAGGATATTTTTGTTTCTACTTTTAAGACTAATGTGATTAATGTCATTATTGAAGTTAGAAAAAAGGAATATTTGTGGCAAGATACTTTTCGACAAATAAAAAACTACTGAAAAAAACTCACTTTAACTACTGACACTCGAACTAGCAAAAATTACGACAACACCAAAATAGATACGGGCAATATTAAAAATATAGGCAGTAATAATCAACAAACTAACGAACAAAAACAAATCAATTCTCAATCAGTACCCATATTTTCTAATGTCGATCTAACATCAGGACAATTTGGGGGATTTCAAAGACAACAACAATTAGCCAATAAACAAACCGAACAAGGGCAAAATATTCAATCGGGAAATTTTAACAAAAATACCTCACGACAAAATTTAACTAGTAAAGAATATTATCGGCAAAATAAAGATGCCAATGTTTCAATTACTAAACAGGATGCTTATGAATTAAATAGTGTGAGCCGATTGCTGAATAATTTTCTGCTAACAGTGATTAAATTATCCGATTATTATCCGTTATTTGATAAGTTATTTATCAGGTTTTTTGGGGCTTCGGTAGTGTCTATTATCGATGAAAAAACCGGACGGAGAAAATGAATAAGCCAAGCCGAATATGAAGAATTAGAAACCGAGGAAACTCCAAAACCAAAACTCCCCGAAGGAAACGAATGAGACGAAACTTTACCTTATTTAGAAAGATTGAAAATAGTCTTAAATAAAACCGAAAAAGAATATAAGAAATTGCCTGATACTTCTAACCGAAAACCCCGAATTGCTTTGAGATTACAAATTGCCGAAGGAGCCACGAAGGCTTATAGTAAGGAGGATTTAAATTTACCCTCGGCCCAGGAATTTCAAGCCCGAGTAAACGGAGAAGTAGAAGGATATCAAAAAGTTATCGGTTATGAAAATATTTTAAAAATGATTGAGGACTGATTGGAAGGTTGAGATTTTTATAAAGAATACGGAGGAGATAAACCCGAACAATTAATGATTTGTTTATTAGGTCCTCCTGGCCTGGGTAAATCTTATATCAGCCAAAGTTTAGCCAAAGCCCTAAATCGAGGGTTCCACATTATCTCCATGAATGGCAAACAATCAGCCTCTATCGTTTACGGCACCGACATTAGCAATCCAGGAGCCGAAGCAGGAGAAATAGTAAAAGCCATCAGTAAAAGGGAGGATAGGGCCTGTGTCATATTTTTTGACGAATTGGAAAAGGCTGGCAAAGATGCTAAAAGAGCCGTTGGTAATCCGACCGATAGAACAGTGAATAAAGATTTCAAAGATGACTTTTTTGATTTTCCTACTCCTCTAAATGAAATTATTTATTTGGTAGCCATTAATTACCCCGAGGATTTACCCGATTTTGTGAGAGACAGATTTCGAGTAATCGAGGTTCCTCCTTTGCCTTACGAGCAGAGATTAGAAGTAGTGAGATTAGTTTTACGGGGCAAATTAAAGCCGTTAAATAATGCCTTTCAAACTATTTACGGAAAAAGTTGAGAGGAAGTTTACAGTTTATTCGACCAGGAGGAATTATTAAAAAAGGCTTTGACCCGAACTTTTTCTATTCGGGGAGCCAAGGATAATATTATTTTGTCGTTAATTCCGACTTTAATTGCCGATTTTTTAAAGCCAAAAAACCCTTTGCCTAATGAATACGAAATTATTAATTACAATTGAAAATTCTTGGAAAAAGAGGAATTGGATAAAGGGGATGCTGACCGAAAACGACCACCTTGTCCTTATGCTAGTGATAGAAATAAAGAACACCGAGAAAATTGTGAGTGTTTTATGGCTAATTTAGATAAAGTGCCAGGATGGGAGGAAAATATGGAACAAGAATATTAAAAAATTATGAACTACCAAATAAACAACCAAATCCAAGAAACGGACATCAATACGAGAAAAGAATTGTGGGATAGTTTATTTTTGTTTATCAATTTTCAAGGCTTAAAAAGTGAATATCTGAACATGTGAAATAAAGATTATCGATTACTGCCTTTGCCTGGCTCTTATCAAAAAACTCGGGAGAAATTAACAAAATATTGCCAAGAATTAAATGGCAAATTGGAACAAATAATTAACTCTTTTACTAATTATTTTCAGCAAAATATTTATCCTTTATTGAATAATTTAGGAGGAGATAAAACCCTAGCCTTTCGTTGTGATAGACTTTTAAAGAACAAAATAATCGGAGAAAGCAGCAGTCTTTTTAATGATTTATTAATTTGTGAATTAGAATATCGGCAAATGCTAAAATTTAAGGATTTATTGGGAGAATTAGCCGACAATTTAAACAATCAGACCACTTTGGATAATCAGCAGCAAGAGAATATTTTAGCCGACATTAAAAAATTGAGGGAGGGAAAAATTAATCAGGCTATTTGTCAAAGATTTATTTTCAAATGGAGTAAATTAATAGCAAAAACAAATCACCAAGAATTATGACAAAAATTAGCCGACTATTTAAAAGAATGAGAGCAAGGAAAGGGTGCTAAAAGTGAATGAAAAAAACAATTAGATATTTTTAAAGAACAAATCGAAAACTTTTTCTTATTAGGCTCTGAAAATATTACTGGTGGTAAACCTTTTTTTCAGTTAGGAGCCATTAAGGAGGATAGTGAGAGAGGATTGATAGTGGCTACTCAAAATAGAAAAGGATTTAGTTTGAATAATCCTTATTTAGGAGTGGTAAATTTCCATCAAAAATATTTTAGAGTATATGCTATTCAAGGATATAATCATATAAATCCCAGAAATTTATATGTGGAATTATTTTTGAGGGAGGATTGAGTATGGAAGGATTATCCGTCTATTATTCATAGTTTAGGAGGTTTGAGTAGTAATAATCACGCTGTTTATCATAATAGGAATTTGGGGTAAGTAGATATACAAAGTGGATATTAAAACTATATATTATGCCAGGACTACAACAAATTACTAACCAAGAATTAATTAAAGAATTAGAAATCCGAATAAAAAACCAGCAAATAAAAGGTGAGGAGATGTTTTGGCTATTAGAAATAAAAAAAAAGCAAAGATTAGCCGAATACGAAGCAGCAGCCAACGATCCCGAGGAAAATGAGGAGTTAGAGGACTGAAAAATAGTAGAAAGTGAAAATTGAGATGCTTAAAAAAGAATCCGAACCCCAAAATATTAAAAGAGGAGAAGTGTATTGGGTCAGACTAGACCCAGCCGAAGGAGCCGAAATCAAAAAAACTCGTCCGGTCGTGGTAGTCTCTAACAACGAACAAAATGCTAAAAGTAAAGTAGTAATTGTGGCTCCGATTTCCAAAAAGTCAATCGGATTTATCCAACTTTTCAAGTTCCCGTTTATCTAAAAGGAGAATTGAGGAAAATTAAATGTGAACAAATTAGAGCCGTGGGAAAACACCGAATAATTGGAAAAAAGATTGCCAACTTAACTGATACAGAAATGGAAAAAGTAAATCAGATAATTAAGGAAGTTTTGAGTTTGGATTAGTTTTTGAGAGATAATAAACCAAATAAGCCTCTAACTGATGAATGCTTATTTTTTGGTTCTTATATTTTCACCCATTACTCGACCTTGGCTATAACTAATTCTTTTTTTAACCCAATTTTTCTCTTTTAAAGAAATCACCATCCTTTTTAACATTTACACCAACATCCAACCCAGTTTAATCGAAAAAAATTTAAAAAATTAATAATATATGAATATTGAAATAGCAAAAAATTCTGAAAAGCACTTAATCATTATTGACTTAGACGGCACTGTTCTAAACAGCGATTTTGCCACCCTCAACCAGAAAAATAAAAAAATTCTCCAAAAACTACAAGAGGCGGGGAATAAAATAGTTATTGCCACTGGTCGGAATTATTTGTCGGCTTTGCCTTTTTATAGAGAAATTGGTTTAGATACTTTTTTGATTACCTACAATGGAGCCTATATTGACCATCCCTTAAAAAAACATAGCCCTATCATGGCTATTCTCCCTCTAGCTAACGAGACAGTTAAGAAAATATTAAATGAAAAGATTATTAAAGAAAATTTACTTAATGTTTTAATCGATTCGGCTGACAAGGAAACCATTTCGACAGGTGAGGATATTTACTACCAAGAAATTTTTTTTAACGGCAATACTTATCATGCGACTAATGATGCTTTACAACATTTAGGAGACCGAGATTGCTTACAATTAGTCCTTGAATTTAAAAATGATAAAGAGAAAATTGACTCCATTCGTTCGTTTTTAGGAGAAAATTATAAAGCGAGCGTGGACTATTATTCAGGAAAAAAATTAAAATCAGAAAAAGAAGGAGATAAAATTTTGGTGCCGGACCCTGAAAAAGTGATTTTTAAAATCCGCAGTTCAAAGGCTGATAAAGCCGAGGCTGTGGCAAAACTAGCCGCTTATTATAATATTGACGAATCACGGATTATTGCTTTTGGCAATGATGTTAATGATATAAAAATGATTGAAAATGTGGGGTGGGGTGTGGCTATGTCAAACGGAAATGACGATTTAAAGCCTTACGCTCGCAGCATCACTAGACTTGATAACCACCGCGGGGGAGTAGCCGAATATTTAATAAAGTATTTTCAAATGAGTTCTCAAAATTAGGTTCGGCAAAAGCAATGCATTTGGTGTTTTGTCTGTGGGCCCTAATTATTTCTCTAAATATCGTCAAAGTTTCCAAAATTAATTAATAAACATGAAAATTTTAGTTATTGGCGATATATTTGGCCAAACTGGCCGTAAAGTGGTTAGAAATTACCTTCTACAATTAAAAAAAGAGCAGAGTGATATTGACCTGGTTATTGCTAATGTAGAAAATGCTACTCATGGCAAGGGAGTATCCCACAAACATTATAAAGAACTAAAAGATGCGGGCATTGATATAATGACTTCAGGCAATCATATTTTCGCTAATGAGGAAACACGAAAATATATCCAGGAAGTTCCAGATTTATTAAGGCCTCTCAATTCTAATCCTTATCATCTAGGGCCTGGAACAATTTTGACTAAAATTAAAGGTAAAAAAATTCGGATTACTAATTTATTAGGAACGAATTTTATGCCTCTTGCAGTTGAAAATCCCTATTTTGCTTTGGAGAAAATATTAAACTTACAAGACTGGGATCTGCATTTGGTAGATTTTCATGCCGAGGCTACGGCCGAAAAAATTGCCCTAGCTTTATATTTTGACGGAAAAATCAGCGTTCTGTGGGGAACCCATACTCATGTCCAAACGGCTGATGAAAGAATTTTGCCCGGCGGGACTGGTTTTATTACAGATTTGGGAATGACCGGACCTTATAGCGGAGTTATTGGAGCCAAACCAGAAGTGATTTGACAGCGAGCCAAGTATGGTTTGCCTGCTAAAATGGCTCCCCAAGAGGACAACGGACAATTTAATGGAGTCATTTGGGAATTTGACGATGATAACAATAAATTAATAAGTATTAAAAGAATTAATAAGGTATTTTAGACAAAATGAGGTGATTGGGAATAAATAGAATATTTTAAGAATGAAATAATCACGGATTATTTATTTCAATAGACACGGATAAGAAAAAATAAGAATAACCCACTAAGCAGCCAAAAAAACTTATAATTACCGAGTAAATTACTTGGATTGTAGGAGGAGTATTTATTGTGGGGCTGGAATGTCAGAAATAATTTTTTCTAATAGCAAATCAACATTTTTTCCGGTTTTGGCTGAAATTAAACAGATATCATTCTCTTGACAATTCAGAAGTTCAATAAGTTGGTTTTTGGTAGTCTCTAATTGAGCGTGAGGCAAATCAATTTTATTAATTGCTGGTAAGATTTTTAAATTAAGATTTTTAGCAATTTCGTAGTAGGCAAGGGTTTGGGCTTGAATTCCTTTGGTGGCATCTACTAATAAAATCACTCCCTCGCAAGCCGCCAACGAGCGAGATACTTCATACATAAAATCCACGTGTCCCGGCGTGTCAATCAAATTAAAAACATAAGGTTCGGGGTTTTCTGGTGGATAGTATAGTTGGACTGCATTTAATTTAATAGTAATTCCTTTTTCCTGCTCTAATGAAAGGCTGTCGAGCACTCTTTCCAAAGACTTATTGCTTCCTTTGAGATTGGTTTTTTCAAGCAAACGGTCAGCTAAAGTAGATTTGCCATGATCGATATGGGCAATGATCGAAAAATTACGTATTTTCTCTTTTTTAACGAACATATGTAATGATTTTTGACCTATTAAGAATATATGAGAAAAAAAGAGCACTAATGAATGAGGTTAACAAAATTCATAATATTTTTTGAGATTAATAATATATAAAATCTAAATATATAATAAGTTATAACATTTCGTTGACTGGCTAAACTAGGGTCAGGAGAGAATATTTGACGACCGATACATACCTATAAAATTAAAATAACAATTAAAAACTATGACTGAATTCCCTATTTTACTATTAGATAACTTTTTCTTATTTCCCCGATGTGATAATTTTCTCCCATTAGAGAATAATATTTATTGAAAGAAAGTATTGTTGCAAGCTTGAAAAGATTGTAAAGGTTATTTGTTGGTTATTCCTAATAAGGAAAAATTTGCTGGTAATTCCGAAGAAAAATTTGTGCCACTTGGAACCCTTGCTAAAATTAATTTGGATATTACCACGGATGATTTGGAACCAATTCTTAACTCCTTCAAAGAAATTCAATTACGGGGATTGGAAAGAGTAAGAGTAAACAGCCTGGATAAGCGAGGTGAAATTTGACACGGTAAATATCAAGTTTTATCGGAAAAAAAATTAGATGAGAGATCGTTAGATGAATTGACCGAGAAATTTGTTCGCCATCTGCCAGACATTCTGGAAAAATCCAAATTGAGTGCGGTTGACAAATTGCCTTATATGACAATGATGAGGGGAAATGTCAGCAATATAATCGATTTTATTGCCCAAAATAGTCGCGAAATCGACCAGTTAACCAAATGAAAAATTCTAGCCTCCTTGGATTTACAAGAAAGGCTTGACATTTTAATCAACCTGCCCGACCGAAAAAAAATTGATGAGGACCTGGAAAAAGAAACGAAAGAGGAAATTAAAAAACAGCAAGAGGAGTGATACTTACGCGAAAAACAAAAAGCCATTGAAAGAAGATTAAAAAAATCCCGCGGCTATGGCAGTGGAGAAATGAAAAAATATTTGGAGCGTTTGGAGAAAGAATCTTATCCGGATTATGTGAAAAAAGTTGCTTATGAAGAAATTGAGCGCTACGAAATTCTGCATCCTAGTTCAAGTGAGGCCGGTATGATTCGCAACTATATTGATTGATTGGTTAATATACCCTGACAACAAAAAATTACCGAAAACCGGGATTTAGCCAAAGTCCGACATAAATTAACTGAAAATCATTACGGGCTCAAAGAAGTGAAAGAAAAAATTTGCGAATATTTGGCTGCGTCTTGAAGTGCCAAAGAAGGAGAGTCGGCCAGCAAAAATCTACTGCTTTATGGTCCGCCAGGTGTGGGAAAAACTTCTATTGCTAAATCTATAGCCGATGCTTTGGGGATACCATTTCTGGTTTTTTCTGCCGCAGGAGTTAATGATGTTTCAATAATAAAAGGTCATATTCGCACTTATGTAGGTGCTATGCCGGGTCGCATTATGCAATTAGTCAAAAAAGCGGGCGACAAATATTTTTTTCTTTTCATTGACGAGTTAGACAAAATCGGCCAGGATAGTTGACGAGGCAATCCGGCTTATGCTTTATTAGAAGTTCTGGACCCGCAACAAAATAAAAAATTTATTGACAATTATTTGGGAGAAGAAGTTCCTTATGACTTATCAAAGGTCATTATTATTTGCGCTGCCAACGACCCTTGGAAAATCCCAGCTCCACTATTAGACCGAATGGAAATGATTCACCTTTCCTCTTACACCGAAGTCGAAAAATTTCATATTGCCAAGGACTACAGCATTCCGGCCATTTTGGAAAAATATTGCTCTATTACTAAAAGAGAAGGTGGGGAAAGAATCAAATTTACTGACGAGGCTATTAAATATCTAATAAGAAGTTATACACGGGAATCAGGGGTTCGGGAATTAAAACGAAAGATTGAAACTGTAGTCCAAAAGTTTATCGTCCAATTTATTCAGGGAGAAAAAGAAGAATTAATTGTTACTCCGGAAAACTTGCTGGATTATCTGAAAAAACCCGATTATGAGTTTACTAAAAAACGTCAGCATCCGGAAATTGGAGCTGCGACCGGTCTGGCCTGAACTGGCTATGGAGGAGATATTTTGCCAATTGAAGTGGCTTATTATCCTCGTAAAGAAGGCGAACCTGAGTTCACTGGAAACTTGGGAGATATTATGAAAGAATCCTGCACGGTGGCCCTGGATTATATTCGGGCTAATTGCGAAAAATTTGGTATTGACCCCAAAAAATTCTCTCAAAATAAAATTCGTATTCATGCCGTAGAAGGTGCTGTTCCCAAGGAAGGTCCTAGTGCTGGTATTGCTTTAACTTCGGCCATTATTTCGGCTCTCACCAATCAAGCCATCTCTACCGAAGTGGGAATGACCGGAGAAATTACTCTTCATGGTCACGTAGAACCGATTGGGGGCTTGAAGGAAAAAGCCATTGCCGCCCATCGTAGCGGATTAAAAACAATTATAATTCCCAAAGCCAATGAAAAAGATATTGATGATATTCCTGAAGAAGTTCGGCAAAACCTAGAAATTATCACGGTTGATGAGTATGAAAAGGTTTGAAAAATTCTGTTCTCCAAAAAGTCAAAAAAAAGCGTTTTTCCTATTAAAAAGCGATCAACGCCTAAAGTTGAAGTTAATCCTTAACAGGTCAGTAGACAAAAAAATAATATAACACTGTTATGATAGGAACCAAAAAAACAAGTAAACAATCATGAGGAAGAAATTAAAAAAAACAATATATAGGTTAAAATAATAATTAATGAATAATTAAATCAAATATTAAAATGTTATGTCAAAAATATTAGATAATATTAAATGCGTTAAATGCCAACAAAACGCCGAAACCCAGCCTAGCCCTTATGAGTCCGATCAGAGATAAAGACGGGCAAATCTATTGCTGATATTGCTATAAAAATAAATCTCACTGCGAAGGCTGTCAAAAGTCAGTTGCCAAACTGAAATTTCCCAAAAGCGGAAATCCCTACTATCCGTGTGTTTCCGGTTATGCCCGAAGTTGCGAGCGGGTAATGAATGAGGTCAAATTTTATTGTTCGTCAGAGTGCGGGAAAAAAATTGCCGCCAAAGAATATCAAGATTGAAAGGAAAAGTTAAATCAAGGTTGAACCAAGTGTGAGGAGTGCGTGAAATTCTGAACTGAATACTGAATTGACGTGAAAGGCCAAGAGGGGCAAAAATGATTTGCAGAGGAAAAAAACCAATGAGGATTTTTGAAATTAGTTGAGCCAGGTCAAGGAAAATTATGTCAAGACCACCGAGAGTGGGAAGAATCAGGAAAACAATGATACGAGGAGACCAAAAACCAAGCCCAAAAAGAGTGGAATAATCTTTCCTACACGGACCGATTAAGTTTAGTAAAAAGAGAACGCCCCGGCGACAAAAGTTGTGAGGAAAGAGCAGCCTGCCCTGAAATAGATGCCTTGGTGTTAAGCCAATTTGTAGGCAAGGCTAACCATGAAAAATACAATTGTCCGAACTGTGATTTAAAAAATTATCCTTCACAACTGCCACCAGGAGGTAGTGATAGCAATCTCTCAATTGGCTCTAACGAAAATAGTTTTCCTACTGATAATTCCGAGAGGAGAACACCTGACCAGCAATCAAAAGAAAAATCATCGGTTCAATCGGACAAAAGCAAATGGTGAGACGACAATTCTGGGTTAATTATTAGTGGAATTATAATTACTTCTTTGGTTGCTCTGGCTACTATTTTAGTAGTGAAAAGAAAAATAAATAGGAATATTTTGTCTGTTAAGACTAAAAAATAATTAATATGTTAATCCAAAAACCAGTTTTGACTGAAAAAAGTCAATCGCTCCATAAAAATAATAAAATCTATGCCTTTTATGTGCTCCCCTCAGCCAATAAATTTCAAATCAAGCAGGAATTAGAAAAAATGTTTGCCGTAAAAATAAAAAAAATTCGCACTAGTCGGCAAAAACCTGTTCTGCGGCAAGCACGCTATCTACAAAAATCCCCCACCAGGATTTATACTAAATTAAGAAAAAAAGCCTTTGTGGAATTGATGCCAGGACAAAAATTACCGGTCTTCGAGGAGTAGGCAATATATAATACTAATAACACTAACCTCAATAGAATTAGAATTAAACACAATTTTGAATAAATAAAATAATGAAGCAAAACCTAAGAGTTAATATCACTGGTCCTATACAAAATTAATCCCTGAAAAAGTAATTTTTGCTGGCTTGAAAATGTTGCGGAAAATTATTTTCTATCTTATTTTTTTGTGCCTTTATCTTTGCTTCGTTGAAATTTCTCTCGCTCTTTGAATCCTGTCCCCACGGGGGCTAGTTGGCCTGCAATTAAATTTTCTTTGCACCCTTTCAAGTCATCAACCGGCTGATATAAGCAATAATTAACCAAACTTTTTAAGGCATTTTGGAAGGAAATTCCGGCCAAGAAAGAGTCCGGCTGAGAGGCTAAATCTTTCAAACTTAAAATGATATTTTTATAGATTACAGGTTTTTTTTGTTGGGATAATAATTCCTGGTTGACCTTGGCTAATTGCTGGCAATTTACCAAATCCCCCACCAGATAATCGCTATCACCACTATCAATTATTTTAACCTTGGAGAGCATTTGCCGAGCAAATATTTCAATGTGCTTTTCATTGATGTCTATGCCCTGGTGATCGTAGACTTTTCGCACACCTTCTCTAATGTATTCTTGACATTTTTCTCGTCCCATAATTTCTAAATATTCTTCTAAATCTATCTTGCCACCGGTCAGCCTTTCTCCTTTTTTTACGAAATCTCCGGGCTTAACTCGGGCAGTTATTTCCTTTCCGAGAGAATAGGTTTTAGTTTCCCCACCTTCTTCGTTTTTTTGCCTGATTTTTTTTTCCTCTATGCTTATTATTTCTCCAGAGAGTTCTGCTAAAATAGTTTTTTCGTCTTTTTTGGGCTTAATATTGTCAAGTATCTGCTTGACTTTTGGTAAACCTTGGGTAATGTCTTCATCACCACTTACTCCCCCGCTATGGAAAGTTCGCATAGTTAACTGAGTTCCAGGTTCTCCTAATGATTGAGCCGCGATTATTCCGACAGCTGTTCCCAGGGATACAGGCTCACCAGGCCGGCCTAAATCTAATCCATAACATTTCTGGCAAATTCCGTCTACTAATTGACAAGTAAGTGGAGAAAAAACTCCCACTTCCATAACTTTATGGATTTGAAGCGTCTTGATTTCTTTTTCTAGTAAAAGAGTATTGCGCATTAAAATAACCTTCCCTTTTTTGTCCGAAACGTCTTGGGCTAAATAGCGACCATAAATTCTTTTTTTAAGAGGCAGATCGTTTTCGGTCAAGGACATAATAGAATTGGTTCCGCAATCGGGAGCAAGAATAATTAAACTTTGGGCCGATTCCACCAAACGGCGGGTTAAATAGCCCGCTTCGGCCGTTTTCAAGGCAGTATCAATCATCCCTTTGGTAGCTCCGAAGTCGGAAATGAAAAATTCAAAAGGCGTTAACCCTTCCCATAAGGAAGAAGTGATCGCCGTTTCTTTTACTTCTCCTGAGTAGTCAGTAATATTACCCCGCATACCGGCGATTTGGGTAAGGCTTTCATCACTAGCCCGAGCTCCCGAATCCCAAATATGGTAAAAAGAGGTCTGTTTTCTCTTGGCTAGATTTGCTACCAACTTCTCTTTCAATTTCTCTTTGCATTCTTCTCAAACGGCAATCACTTTTTGTTTTCTTTCTTCTTCGCTATAAAAACCTTGAGTAAAATGCTCGGCAATTTGAACCAATTTTTTTTCTGCTGCTGCTAAGATTTTTTCTTTGTCAGGAACAATATTCTCTAATTCAAAAGGAGAAATACTGATTCCCGAACGAGTAGAATAATCAAAACCGGCTTTTTTTAGGTGGTCGAGAAATTCCACCATTTCTGAACGCGGAGTCATTAAGGCCAATTTATTCAGAAAAGTAATTAATTCCTTTTTTTTTCAGCCTCCGAGTGGTTGATATTCCTCTCATTTTTCGGTAATTTGATTTACTTCAACTAGGTTAACCTCTTGATTGTTTTCTTCATTATAGGCTTTTAAGTCATTAATATAGTAGGGAAAACTAGGTGGCAAAATCCGATTAAAAATTATTTTTCCCAAAGTAGTAAAGAGGAATTGATTCTGGGATGTGGCCAATTGGCGTCCAACAAGAGGGGCGGGAATAATAATTAAGTCGTGGAGGCTTATTTTTCCTTTTCCCTGGCTTTTGTAAATGTTGCTTATTTCGTTGAAAAAAATTGGTTTTTTTCTTTTTGCCTCCTTGGTTAGATAATAAATACCCAAAATCATGTCTTGGCTGGGGATGGTTATCAATTGACCGTTTTTTCGGTCAATAATGAGATGAGAGGAAAGAAAAAGTTCCTCGGCCTCTTTGCGTGCCTTTTCGGTTAGAATCAAATAGATAGCTACTTGGTCTCCATCAAAGTCGGCATTTAGAGCTGTAGTTATTAGTGGGTGAAGTTCAATTGAATGTCCCAAAGTCAGCACGATGCGAGTTGCTTGCACACTTGGTCCGTGCAAACTGGGGGCACGGTTAACTATAACCAAATGCTCCTGAATTATCTCTGTTAGCAGAGAAAAAATAATTGGGGCTTCCTTTTGCAACATTTGCTCGGCTTCTTTGATGGTGAAAGTTAATTTTTCTTTCAATATTCGGCGGATAAGGAAGGGTTTGCAAAGGGTCAAAGCCATTTTGACCGGCAATCCTATTTGATCGAGCAATAAGTTAGGATTGGGGACAATTACCGACCGGGCTGAATAGTCCACTCTTTTTCCCAGTGAATAACGTCGAAGTATGCCTTCTTTACCACTTAAACTTTGTAATAAACTTTTGACTCCGCTTTGTTTGTAAGCTGACCCGTATATCATCTGGTCAATGGCTTTTTGCAATCCTCTTTTTTCATTGTGGAGAATGTCACGAAAGAGAATTCCCGAATCTTTTAATCCTAAATAATAATTTAATCTTTCACACCGTAAAATTATGCGATATATCAAATTGTTATGCTGATTAGTAGCAATGACGTCCTCCTCTTTCAATTTAGTTACCGGTCGCAGACCACAAGGGATAACCAGAAGATTATTCATAATCATTCATTCTAATTTTGTTCCCGACTTTTGTAAACCTTGTAGAAATTTTAATTTTTCCCGGTTAACTTTTTGGGGCATTTCTTTTGCGATTTTCTTTTCCTTAGCTAATTCTGCTTCTACATTAATTCCCGTCAATAATTCTTGCAAAGCCTCAGTTCCAGTGCTAATTTTCACTCCGCAATGTTTTTCTAAGAAATCTAAATAGTCTTCTGAAAAAATGGTATCGGTAGTTTCTTCTTTTTTATTTTTATTGGCAGCAATTTTTTTCTGTAATTGCTCGGCTTTTTCCAGAATATTTTCTGCCAACTTTTTCTCTTGAATGATTTCTTGCAGAATGCTGTCAATTTGAGATTGATTGAACTTTTTTTCTAAAATTTTTTCCTTTTTCAACGAACTGATTAAATTATTATCAATAATTACATAAGCATTAAAATAAATAATATCTTCTAATTTTTTAGCAGAAATGCCTAATAATTTACTCAAATTAGTGGCCAGAATTTTGAAAACAGCAATATTGGTTACTGGCACCGGCAATTCAATGTGTCCGGGCCGCCATCTTTGGAGATTTTTTTCCCCAATCAGCACTTCGCAACGTTCACATTTTTGTCCTTTATTTTCTTTTCCTTTATATTTACCACAATAACATTCGTAGTTCAAAAAAGGACCGAATATACGGGGATCGAGAAGACCACCTGGCTCCGGCTTAAGAGTGCGATTATTAATTACTTTGTGGCTGGTAATTTTTCCGAAAGAAAGTTCGACAATTCTTGAAGGTTTAAGTAAACTAATTTTTAATGATTTTATTAAGGGCATAGGAAAAAAAGATTATGATATTTTAGAATAAATGTAAATATATAAAACAATAAATAATAATATTCCCGAATAGATAAGAGAATTATTTTTTAGGTGATTTGCGGCTGAATGCTTCGTAAAAGTCAATTTCCCGACCTTGATGGTCAAAGGCTCGTATGTCAAAACCCGAACCCCGTAAACCTTGAAGGGAGAGGTTGAAAGATTCGCAATTATTACTGCGCAAGTCAATTTGACGGTCATCAAATACTAAGGAGTTTTGGAATAAATTTCGTTTGGCAATATCGTCCGATTTAGGGCCGTATATTTCGCTAATGTTATAGGATGCTCCATGGGATAATGCACAATCGACTTCCATTCCTCCAAATCTTTGACCACCATTTTGGGACCGCCCCTTGGCCGGCTGCTGATAGATAAGTGAATAAGGACCCACATTCCGGGCGTGGAATTTATCGGCCACCATATGGTTTAGTTTAATGGTATAAATGTAACCATTGTAAATATCTTGGTCAAAAGGTAAACCAGTTTGGCCGTCAAATAATTTTTTGGCTCCACAATTTTCCAGACCGGCTTCTTGGATAATTTCTTTGATGGCTTCGGGAGAAGGAGAATTGAAAGGACGGCAAAGCAGTTTGCTGCCGGTTTTTTTGGCCGCGGAGGCTAAAACGGTTTCTAATAATTGTCCGATATTCATTCGGGTAGGAATGCCTAACGGATTGAAAATTATATCAACGGGCCCTTCTTCGTCAAAAGGCATGTCGGCTTCTGGCACAATTTTGGCTACTACCCCCTTATTACCAAAACGGGTAGTTAACTTATCCCCCACCTCAATTTTTCTTTTTTGGGACACAAAAACTTCTACTAACTCTAAATCCTTGTCTTTCTTATTTTTAGAAATCTTTTTTCTTCTAACTTGATAGACTATTCCAGCTTCTTCGGCGGGCAAACGGAGAGAAGAATTAACGAAACGCCGAGTCTTTTCCCCCAAAATACTCATTAGCAATAATTCCTCCTCATTCTCCTTATGGGGGCTAGGTTCAGGAGTTATTTTTCCTATCAAGATATCATTACCTTTAACCCGGCTGCCGATTTTTACGATGCCGTTTTTCCCTAATTGCGGGTGCTGCTTCTTTCCAGCATGGGGCAGAGAAGAAGTAAATATTTCTGGACCATATTTAGTGTTATGGCGAATAATAGTGTGTTTTTTGACAAAAAAAGAGGTTAAAATATCTTCTTTGACTAATCTTTCACTTAAAATAATAGCATCTTCATAATTATAACCATTTCAGCACAAATAAGCCACTCTTAAATTACATCCTAAAGATAATTCGCCGTTGCTGGCTTGGTTTCCGCAAGCCAGCATTTGTCCTTTGGAGACTGACTCGCCTTTTTTTACTAGCGGCAAAGAAAATCCCAAAGTATTTTTGTTGGAAACTACTAATTGTTCTAAAGGATAAATTTTTTTCTTTCTATTTTTTTCTTGGATGATAATTTGTTGGCTGTCAACATATTCCACTATTCCTTTTTCTTCAGCCTTAACTGTCAAAGGAGAATTTTCGAGCAGGCTGGCCTCAATGCCGCTAGCGACTAAGGGTTCTTCATTCTTCAAGCAAGCTACGGCTTGCCGTTGCATATTGATTGCCATCAGCATACGAGTAGCGTCATTGTGGTGAAAAAAAGGAATAGTGGCGCCGGTCACGGAACTTAAATGATAAAAAGAACTGTAAATGAGGTTTATTTTTTCCTTGGACACACGAACAAAATTTTCTTGATACATAGCCATTACGGTTTCCTCAACAATTCTATTTTTTTCGTCAATTTTAGTGTTGAAATGGGCGATATATTTGTCTTTTTCTTCTTTGCTGGTTAAGTAAACCAAATCGGGCATAATTACTCCATTCTTAACGGGAAAATAAGGAGTCGTTATTTGTCTGTCCTCATTTATTTCAGCACCGGTAGTTATTCGACGCACCAAACCAGTATTGCGACCTTCGGGAGTTTCGTTCGGGTCATAACGACCGATAAAAGAAGCATCGACATTACGAGCAGCCAAGGTAGCATTAACCGCATTACGGCCTCCCAATCCCATTACACTGGATACTAACCCGTCAGAAATAACTGCCAAGGAATTATTTTGGTTTTGTAAGCGAACCAAAGCCGAAGTATTAAAAAAATGCCTAATAAGATTGTCAAAATCTTTTAAATTAGGTATTTTGGCAAAATCAACTTTTTTTAGTTGGGAAAGGTAATTAGTTAAGTACTTATCACTAATCTCTTGCAAAAATCCTCCTAATTTATTGTCAAAAATGTTGTAAACTAGGTCACCAACCCTCCGAATAATCTGGTTTTCTAATTTGTCCTCATCCTCTTTTTTTTCAGTTTCACCTAAGCCATGGTGCAAATTGATATAATAAGAAACAGCGCAAATCAAGTCTGCCAGGTCAAAAAAGGTTTTTTCCTCCGGCAATTTTTCGCTGATTCCTATCACTGAGATAACTTTTTCCGGCTGACGCGGAGATTTTATTTTAACAATATATAAGTCATTAGTCGAATGCGGAACAGAAAAACTATTCATTTTTTTCTTTTGGAGAGCATTCGCTAATTTTTCCAAATTTTTTTCGCTAAAAATAGCGTTTTTTTTTAGAATCACTTGCCCGTTTTTATCCAGCAAGTCCTCTGCTAATTTTTGATCTTTTAATTGTTGAATAATATCTATTCTTTGGTTATATCTTCGGCGTCCCAACTTTCCGATATTAAAATAAGAATTGCCTTTGCTACTAGTAAATAAAAAGTGTGGCAAACCGGTTCGGCCTGCTCCGATTTCTAACTCTTGGGCTTCGGAGTAATTGTCTAGGTTTAGATCTTCCTCGTCAAATAGGATTCGAAGAAGTTCAGGAGAAACGGCAAAAGTTTTTAAGACATCTAGCCAGTCGACCACCAGGCCCGAATTAAGAAATTTTAATTCAATGGCCTGAGCCTTTTTAGCACTGTAAGAAATATTAATTCAGGGTCCTTTGAAAGGGATAATTTCTCCCCAAAAAATTTTTTCTTCCTTTTCCTCAAAGTAATAGACCGAAGGGGCACGGACAGACTGAAAAACTACCACCTTGTCATGACCGTTAATAATGAAATTTCCTTGCGGGTTCATTTTTGGCAAATGACAAAATTCGATTTTTTGTTCCTGTTCGCAACGAAAACTGATGGTTATTTGTTCTTCTTCCACTTCTAAGACTTCTAGAAGCAATTCCAACTTTTTCTCAGTTTTTTTACTCTTATTCTCTTTTATTTCTCAAGCTTGATATCGGTTCTCTTTCAATGCCTCTATTTTTTTGGTTAGACGCCAGATAATGGGTTTTTCGGAGTCCCCAGTTGGCTCCTGATTCGTTAATTCTAACTCTTGTAACTGTTTTTGGGTTTGGGTTAACAAAGATTTTAATTCCTTGGCCGAAAAAGACTTTTTTTCACTAGAGAATTTTCCAATTTTAAATCCATCTTTTACTCATTGAATGATAGTTTTTTGAAAATCGTTGTCTTTTCATTTCTTACAATTTTTCCATTCTCTACAATGTTCGCTTGAACAAAATTTTTCTTCCCATCCTTTATAAGAATAAAAAATATATTTATCTTTTTCTTTGGCAAATTTTTTTTGGCAACTATGACAATTTAGATTAGGCAACTCTTTCTCTTCTTTCATGTCCTTAACCACCGGTTGAATTTGCATTTTGTGACAATCTCAAGCCACTTTTCAGTTCACAGAAGCCAGATAATTCCAAGTCCGACCCTCGGCCCGGGCTTGTCCCTCGGTTTCGGTTATCACTTTGCCATTTTTTTCAATTGTAGGTTCTTGATAAACAAGATTCTCAGCACTTATCTTAATATTATTATTATAGTCATTAAACTCAGCCGGAAAATAAAAAGTTAATAATTTTGGCAATCTTTCATGCCGAAAATTATCATAAGATTTTTTTTGTTCGCGGGCGTAATCCCTTTCTGGAAGGCCTTGAAAAAGGGGTGAACGATTGACAGTTAAATACTCCCGACGCGTATTTTTTCCTGAATTAATTAGGCGATATGACATTAATTAAAATTATTTGATTTCGACTATGGCCCCTTTTTCTTTCATTTTCTTTTGGAATGCTTCGGCTTTGTCCCGTGGAATATCTGCTAGAACAATTTTTTCTCCTCCTTCTGCTAGTTTCTTGGCTTGAAGTTTAGTAATGTCTTCTCCTTTTAACTCTTTCACAACCTCTACTATATCTCCTAAAAGTGGCACTATACTTGCTCCTTCCTTTTCCATTTTTACCCATTTAACGGCTACATTACCACCTTTTTCCTCAACTTTTTCGGCGGCTTGGGTTCCGGCTGTCGGCTGAACTATGGCGGTCTCTTGGATATTATAATCTACTTTTAAACTTTCAACCAATTCGCTAACTTGACCAATATTTAAACTTTTTATTTTTTCTTTGATTTCGTTTACTTCTGGACTAATTTTTATTTCTGACATATTATTTATTTTCGGTTTGGGATGATTGAATTTTTTCTAAAATATTAACAAGTCTTCGGGTTTGATAATTGAGATAATAACATAAAGTATTTATTAATATTTCTTTGCTAGGCAAATTGGCTCATTTTTCTATTAGAGTATGGGCGACTAATTTTTGTTCGTAAATGCCACCTTGAAAACGTTTGATGCTGGAATGCTTCTTGGCAAACTGATTAAGAATGTTTAAGGGTTTATATTCATCCTCTTGGCAAAAAATGAACGCATTAGCCTGCTTCAGATCCAAAGAATAATCCGAGAGTGCTTTTTCTACTAGACTATTTTTGTAAACTTTTCAATGACCGCCCACTTTTTTCAATTCTTTTTTTAATTTGAAGAGTTCGCGGTTTTCGGTGTGGTGAAAATTGTAGAAAATAACGGCCCGGGCTTGTTGAAAATTATTTTTAATGTCTTGGACGAGGGCTTGTTTCTGGCTGGTAGCAGACATATATATTATATTTTATACGGTTTATGGTCTTGCGAGATTGTTTTACTTTATTTGGGTTCTGCGTTTTTTCCATTCAGTTAAAAATAAATCCTTATTCTTTTTTCAATTCTTTCAGTTTCGTTTTGCTCCTGCTCCGAAACTCGTCCTTTAACTTCTCCAGCCTTGCTATTTCTGATTGCTGTTTTGAAAGCAAGAAAAAGATTTTTTTTTTTTATTCTACTGCTTTTCTCTTTCGTGAACGAATAATTAATATTGCTCCTGCCACTATACCCACTACTGCCACTCCTGAAACCCACATTAACGGATTATTAGGACGGAAAAATCCTTCATTATTTTGACTATTTTGAGTAGAATAATTTTTGGCTTGGTCTAATAATCGTTGAACTTCATCTCTTTTCTTTTCATAAGCCAATTTTTTGTAATCAACTTGACTATTCACAAACTCTTGTAATTTTTTGCTTTGGCTTTCAACTTCATTTTTATTTTTGTTTTTAATCGCTTGTTCGAGAGCAACGATTAATTTTTCAAGAGCCTTTTCTCCCATAGCATTAAAAATCTCGGTTCGTATGATTTGGGCTTGGCTCGTTTCGATATTATTATTATTATTATTATTATTATTATTATTATTATTATTATTCAATTCGTCGTATTTTTGTTTGACCTCCGTGCTTAAATCCTCTGGTTTTATTCCGTTTTCTTCTAAAACACCATTTACCTCATCTCGAATAATTTCTCGGGCTTTTTGCTTATTTTTTTCTCCTAATTCTCTTTCCTTTTCCTCTTTTTGTTTTTTTAATTCCTCGTCTGAACTATTATTGGCGGTGTCACGAGTTTTTTTCAAAGCCTCTTCCAATTCTTCTTCACTTTTAGCATTTTTCAACTTTTCTGCAGCCTCGTCAATTTGCTCCTTGGTTGGTCCCTTGGGAGTTTGGTTCTGCTGGTTGTCTTGGCCTTTTTTATTTTTAGCAATTCAGTCGTCAATGGCACTTATTCTTTCATTTTTGAAGCCTTCAATTTCCTCTACTGAACTATTAACCCAACTCATTTTGTAACTGGTTTCTCAACTATTTCCCAGCCCCTCAATTTTTATTGCTTGCTCATCGCTAATTCCAGCCGCTTGTAATTTGGCCTTGATTTCTTTAATGTATTTATCAATGAGAGCCTGTTTGTCGGTATCGCCGCTTTTTTTATTATTTTGGTCGCCTGATTGTTTTTGGTCTTTCCCTATATTATTCTGATTATCGTTTTCCTGTTCTCCTTTAACAGTAAGAGTAATTAAATTAATCTCTCATATTCGTAATGCTTTTTCGTCGGAGTCTAATTTATGCTTATTTTTTGGGTTTGGACCTTGCGCTGGTTCGTCTGAACTCTCACTAGCACTACTACTCATCATTAAATTAGGTCCAACATCCTCTATTTCCAAATCCTCATCGTCATACGCTAATTCGAATTCTTTATTTTCGGTTCCGTCAGATTTTTTACTTTCCAAAATATTTTTTAGGCCTCCTCGTTCGGAAGGGGGAACTGCGAAAATAATCTTTTCAACGGCTTTTTTACCTTTTTTGGTCTCAATTTCGGCACTACCAATGTTTAATTCCAATGGTCCGCTTTCACTTATACTTTTTACTGTAAATATTATTTTTTTACTTGACATATTATTATAATTTTAACTTATTTTATTGTTATTTTTATTTTGTATGATTATTATTTATCTTTTTTTCTTAATTTTCTAAATCGTTTCTCTTTAATATAATTTTATATAATAGAAACATAACGACAGGTTTTAACTCAAATTAGCAAGAAGTCCCCTTGTTCTATAAACTGGGGATGAAAGATAATTGGTTTACCAATTCTCTGCTTAAAGACAAAATTTCTAATTTTGTTCTTCTTAATTGCTTAAAATATAATTATCCTAGCAATAGGACGGAATAGGAAACGAACAACCAGCAATGGTCTCCTCTGCTATCTGAGATAGTAAGACTTCGTAAAGCAGGAACACAGTTGGTCTTAACCAGTGAGATCTGCCAGAAACTCCTACTTCTATAAAGTAGTGAGTAGTTCATAAAAATGTTACGAGGTTAATTCTTTTTGGCATAACTTAAAAGAACTAAATAAAAAATATAATTATCATCACGCTAATGGTAACCAAAGAAGCAGAAAAAAATAAAGTAAAGCAAGCCCGTAATCGGAAATATAAGTCGCTAATCAAAAATCAATTCAAGAAAATTGAGGTTTATTTACAAAAACAAAAAGTTAACGAGAACACAGTTTCGGCTCAGCAAAAAGAATTGGAAAGTTTGTTTTCAGAAACACAAAAAGTATTAGACAAGGCCAAAAATAAAAAAATAATCCACCCGAGAAAACGTGACCGCAAAAAAAGACAATTATATAAAAGCCTGAATAAATTAAGGACCACAAAAGAAGTTAATTCAGAAATATAATCATGGAAAAATTACTATAAAACTTTAATATAGAGTAGTTTGATATAAATCAAAAGCAGATTATTTATCATACCTAGCAAATGAGACAACAATGCTGGATCAATATTTATTACGATTATGAAAGTTTTTCCTAATTATCTGAAACAATGTTAAATACATTTTAGAAGAACAGATTGACTGCTACTTTCTCGCTGCGGATTAGTTAATAACCATAGAGGGGGGATAAATTAGCAGTCAATTTTATCCACCCAGAAACCGGGCTAATCACTAATAAAGGTGAATGAAAAAGTTTATCTATTTCTTGCGGAACCAAAGACTTTAAATAAATTATGGAGAAATTATTAGGACTTTTGGTGCAGAAGGCTTATCGCTATTATAAGTCAACGCGTATCAACTTATCAGAGATAAATTTCTTGTTAATCAAACTAAATTAGCCAATATTTTCACTGCTTTTTTGGAAAATTCCTTTTTAACTTTTGCCGGCTGAGAATTTAATTATGATGCTTTTGGAAGTGCTATTTCTCATCGTTCGACTTATTTTGAAAACCGAATTACTATTTACCAGCACAAAATTTATCATTGTAAAATTATAATATAGATAAAAAGTGTGATGGAATTACGAGATTAATAGTTGATAGCAGTTGGCCCATCGCTTTTTGAGAGTAGTTTGCGGATTTTTAAGGCTCTATGGTCACCAGCCACAGTGATAATTTGAGTAATTTTCCAAAAAACTCCTGTTTATTCTTCTTTGTCTAATTGAAATGAATAATTATTTGTAATTGTTCTATTCTTAAAACTCCCTGTATATTTTTCAAACACAAAAAGATTAAGGAGTGGTAGTTAATAATTTTTCTTCTTTCAAAATTTCCTCCAAAGCATCCTTAGGAACTTCCTGATAGTGAGACAAATAGGCTGAGTAAGTACCCCTGCCTTCGGTTATTTGTCGTAAATCAGCAGAATAAGCAAGAATTTCACGAAGGGGAATTTGGCCGGTGATATAACTCTCCCCTTCCTCTTCTTCCGTATTTTCAATGACCGCACGCCGAGCGCCCAGGTCCGCCAAAATGTCTCCCATATAATCTTTGGGAACCACTACTTTTATTTTCATAATCGGTTCTAGTAAAACTACACCTAATTTTTGAATCCGCTCTTCTTTTTCGGCTACTCCATCGCCCCGAAAAGCCAAAACAGCCGCATTTTTGAAATCACCGGGTTTAGTATCGACCGCATGCCTTTTTCCTTCTAACAAAGTAGCCTTAATATCCAGCAAAGGATAATTCAAAAGTAAGCCCGACGACATTGCCTCCTCTATTCCTTCTTTTACTTCCTCAGCATCTTTGTCAGACATTTCTTGACCTTTTTTGGCATCTACAAATTCAAATCCTTTACCTGGATTGGGTTCAAAAGCGAGTTTGACCCGAGCAAAATGTCCGCTACCTCCGGTTTGTTTTTTATATTCTCCTCACACTTCTGCTAATTTTTTAGTAATGGTTTCGCGGTAAGATACTTTTCGTTGCTTACTTTCAATATTTAATTTGTATTCCCGTCGTAGTCTTTCCACCGTAATCTCTAAATGTAATTCCCCCATTCCGGAAATAATCATTTGCCCTGTTTCTTGGTCTGTTCAATATTTAAAACCCGGGTCTTGGATTTTCAATTTATCGAGTGCTCCTTTCAATTTGTCTTTATCTTCATTAGTTTTAGGTTCAATGGCCTGGGAAATCACCGGTTCGGCGAAATTAATTGCTTCTAGCAGCAATGGATTCTTTTCTTCTCCAAAAGAATCACCAGTAATAGCATGATCTAAACCAATTGCTACCGCAATATCGCCAGCTCCTACTTCCTTAACGTCTTCTTTTTTATTAGCGTGCATACGGACTAGCCGACTTACTCGTTCTTTTTTGTCTCGGCTAACATTGTAGATATAGGAGTTGGCAGATATTTTTCCGGCATAGACCCGAAAAAAAGTTAATTTATTATTGTAATCGTCAAATACGATTTTGAAAGCCAAAGCCAAACAAGGCAAAGGACTTTTGCAATTTACTACTCCTCTTTGGCTCTTATCCCGAGGTGAGAAGACCGGTATTTCCTCTATATCCAGTGGCGAAGGAAGATAATCCACCACCCCATCTAACAATAATTTAACTCCGACATGTTTATAGGCTGAACCGCAGAAAACGGGAAAGTGCCGGCCGGTCAAGGTGGCTTGACGAAGCATTTTTTTGACTTCTGCCACTGTTAACTCCTCTTTTTTTTCATTCTTTTCTAAGGCTGAAATTAAATTTTCTTCTTCTTCCTTTCGGGCTTGAACTTCCGCTTCAGCCCGTTTTTTTTCTATTTGGTCCAGTAATTTTTCTGGCGAGTTTTCAGAAATACTTTTTGCTTCTTTGATTTTCTGGTCTGCCTCCTCATTGATTTTTTTAATCTTTTTAGCACAGTCTTGGCTTATCCTTTCCATTTCTCCTTCAACCAACTTCTCAATTAATTCCTGCCGATATTGCTGTGTCCTGGCTATCAAATTAGTGGGAATTTCCTCGGCGTGGTAATTTTCGGCCTGGTCGCCTAGTTGAAAATAGTAGGCTTTTTGTTTTACCACATCCACTATCCCTTTTAATTCTTTGCCGGCTCCAATGGGAAATTGCACTACTAATGTTTTTGCCCGTAATTTGTCTCGCAGGCTTTTGAGACAATCAGTAAATTTTTCTTCATTATCCACCCCGTCCATCTTGTTAACGAAAATTAACCGAGGGATTTTATATTTGGTGGCTTGACGTCAAACAGTTTCAGTTTGGGCTTCAACCCCCTTTTTGCCGTCCAGCACTACTATTCCTCCATCTAAAACTCGTAGCGACCTTTCTACTTCAGCCGTGAAGTCCACGTGACCCGGAGTATCAATGATATTAATTTGGTGAACTTGGGGGTTGTCCGGGCTTTGCCAAGTGATAGTAACGGCCGCCGAGTAAATGGTTATTCCTCGTTCTCTTTCTTGTGAGTCATAGTCGGTGGTAGTGTCTCCAGTATCAACATCACCAACTTTATGTTTTTCTCCACTCTTGTGAAGCATTCGTTCAGTAGTAGTAGTTTTTCCAGCATCAATGTGGGCCATGATACCGATATTACGAATATGAGCTAATTGTTTCTCTTCGTCGGGCATATATTATTTAATTTTACAAAAGTTGACAATTTTCCATTCATTATTTAGGTATTCGGAAGTTTTTTACTCAAAAAAATACCCTTATTTTCTTATTTTTACTAATTTTCTAACTCTCTAATTTCTTTCTGTTTTTTTCTTTTTCTGGCTACTAGTACCACACCAACTATTATCACAATCGCCACAGCCACTATCGGCAAAATTACTCCTCACGGAATACCCGGCTTATTATTGCCAGTGGTATCGTCCGCATTACTTTCTAATTTTTCCAGTAGCTTTTCAATGTCGGCTTCTCGCTTTTTGACATAAATATTGTCCTCTATCTTTAATTTTTTTAATTTCTCTCTGACCGCATTTTTCTGATCCGAATTACGAGCGGCTTCTACTTCCTTTCGTAAATTATCAATTCTTTTCTCAACATCTTTGTTACCGATAAATTCCACCAGAGTATTTTTGGCAGTTTTTAATTGGTCCTTATCATTAATTTCTTTATTTTTTATCTTGGTGAATAATTCTTTTTCTTCCGCCCCTAATTCGTCCTCGCTAACTCCGCGTTTAGTCATTGCGGCTTCAACAATATCTTTAATCAACTCTTTGGTATTTTCTGCGTTCTCTTGGAAAGCTCGGTCAATGTTCCGGTCAATGATATCTTTTCATTTCTCCTCGTAGGCTCTTGCACCCTCATGAATTTCAACTTTTTTAATTTTGTTTATCAGATCCTGCCCGTTTGCCTCATCAATTCCTTCTCCCTCTTTATTTATTTGTTCCTCAGTTTGCTTCTCTTTCCGTTTTTTCTTAATGTTAGTTAATACTTTATCACGAAGGTCATTAATATCTTTTTCAGTATTCAACTGCTTTATTTGGGTTTCTCAATTTTGAAAATCGGAATCTAAATCACTAGTGGCGATTTTCGGATCTTCACCCAGAGCATTATTAATGTCTTGAATGGCGGCCGTGCGGGTTTGGTCAATTCCTTGATTTTGGTCTGGCCCTCCACCGCCTTGGTCCCCCTCTTTTTGTTTGGCCTCATCCGCACATTGTTGACTATGATATTTCTTTCCGTTATACTCAAAAGGAAGTGCGTCAAATTTTTGGTTACAATTCGGACAGGTCAATTTGCCACCACCACCCGTATCGCTGGCTACTAATCCTTCAATCAAATCGATTACGGCTTGCTTGCGGACTAAAATCTTGTCTTTTAACTCTCGCATAGTTTTAAAATTGTTTTTGAGTACTTTTTTTGTGTCATGAGAACTAATTGAGTCAACATCGCCATCGGCAATTTTGGTCGGGGTTCCTAAGTCAGCTAACTCTTTATTAGCCGCTACGCCAGGAGAAACTTCTTTACTGCTTTCCGTGTTGAATTGGCTTTGGTATTTTTGGTACTTAGCATCCCCACCTCCTACTTTGATGGCTAACTCATTATATTTTTTCACAATATCATTCTCATTTCAGACTTTATTTCAATTTTCTACCATGTCGTTATATTCTGAATCGGTTAAATTGCCGGCCTGCTTTCAATCCGAAATCCACCCTCTTATTTTTTTGATCTCTTGCTCCATGAGCGGAAAGAGAGTTTGGAGTTTTCCCGTTTGCCTTTTAAAGGATTGTTTGGCTTGTGCTAAACCTGCATAAGAATCAGGACTGTTTCAAGAATTGGTGGTATTTCCAATAGGCCATTCTTTTGTTAATCCTTTATTAGTTATAGCCACTTTTAATTCTTTATCCATGGTTCCGTTTATATAATTATTATATTTTTTTTCTTTTTCAATTTCGTAGAAAGTTGAAGTAGAATTAGTGAGATTAACTAAATAAAAAAATTGTTGGATGGTGGGATTGTTATTTATTTCTTCATTGTATTGGCGGGCTAGTTCATTATAATCCACCTCCGTAGTAATAGCATCAATTTGATCGTCGGTAGGAATAATTCATGGAGTATGAGGAGTGTTCTCCAATTTTTCCGAACGGAATTGGGTTTTAATGTTGTAATAGGCAGTGCGGGGGATTGATAAATATTCAATTGCTTCTTGATAGGTGGTTTGGTCGAGGTCAACGTCCATAATGATGAAATCTTTTCCTACGCTTTCGTTATCCATTAATTTTTCGTAAAGGACATCGTTTTCTGTGCTACCATTGGCCACTAATTCAATACGCAAGGCTGAAACATCTCCTTTTCCGGTCACATTCCGTTTTTTAACTCGGACCACTAAAAATAATTCGCTTGGTTGCCCTCAACCTTCGGGTTCTTGGTTCCAAAACCATTGCCAGGCAGTTTTTTCTTTAATGTCTGTTATGCCCGAAAAAGTTTGGGGAACTCCGTTGAGAGTGAATTTAATACTTTTTTTTGCCATATTGAATTATTTTTTTTCTTTTGCGAGTAGTGTGTCAATACATTTTTTTTGTTATTTAACTTCTATTTTTACTTCCATTTCACCACTTTCTTGTTTCTCCAATTCTTTTTTTAAGTCAATTAATTCGGCTTGTAATTGATAAAGACTACTCGCCTCCTCTTCGCTTAATTTCTCTTTTAACTTTCCTCTGGCCTTGTTAAACTGATTTCGGACAAAAGTGATAACATTTTGTTCTAATGCTACTTGGGCTTCGAGAAAAGTATCTAACCATTCTGTTGAATTCTCATCTAATTTGCTTTTAAGAGTATTTTTTAAACTTTCTAATTCGTTCTTTTTATCCTCTATTTGGATTGTTAAAAGTTCTTTTTTAATTTTCTCTAAGTTAGGTTGTTGAGTATTTAATTGTTGATAAATGTTACTAATTTTTTTTCTTTCTTCTGCTCGAACTTTTTTAACTACTAATTGAAAAGGTTTTATGCTAGGGTCACAAACAAACACACTCAATTGTAGACACTTGCTTATATCTAGCGTAAACAATTTGTTTTCCAAACAGCAAAGCGATGTTAACTTATTAGGTAGAATTAGAGAAGTAATTTGATTCTTGGAACAATCTAACTCTTTTAAATTTACAAAATCACTTAAATCTAAATCACCTTCTAATTTTTCTTGGCCAATATCTAGATTAGTTATTTCTTCTCTTTTTTTACCCTTATTGTTTCATTTGTTTCCACTCTCACTATTTATATATTTATTAATATCTGTCTCTATGTTGCATATTCCGTCTTTTGGATAATTTTGATCCAATCATATTTGAGCGTTTACCATATTAAATTATTATTATTCTATTTGCAATATTTATAAAAAGGTTATTTTTGTGAAATTATTGTCTAAAATCAGCGTTATTACTCTTTTGTGTTTCGCAACACACAGCAGAGAGAGAGAGAGAACGACCTCCAAACTCGCTCTACTTTATCATACTCGTGATATATATTATTTTTGTAGGAAAAAAAAAAAAGATAAAGGAGCGAATTAAATTTATTTTTTTTCTTCTTTTGCCAACAGAAACAAAAGAAAATCTCTAAAAAATTAAATATAATAAGGGGACGTGGCTGAGCGGACGAAAGCGGCGGTCTTGAAAACCGTTTGGAGCAATCCACGTGGGTTCGAATCCCCCCGTCCCCTCCATTTGGACAAAACAAGCAAAAATATTTTGTTCTCTTGGAAAAAACCAATTCAATATACGGAGATATGCCTGAGCCAGGCCAAAAGGGGCAGTTTCGAAAACTGTTCGGAGCAATCCACGTGGGTTCGAATCCCTCTATCTCCGCCAGAAGTTAAAATAAAAATATATCAGCCCGGAACGACGGAATGTGGCCTAGTGGTAAGGCACCTGGTTTGGGACCAGGGGATCGCGAGTTCAAATCTCGCCGTTCCGACCATTTTGATATAATAAATTATCTACATAACATAGGACCAAAAGAATAAATAGTATATAATCTATATGGCAATAATTTCACAAAAAAAAACAGTAGGGAGCAAGGAAAGTTAGGCATTTTAAAACTCGCTAAAAATATTTGCTGAAAAGAAAATTTATAAAATCATGGAAAAGAGTTATTACGAAATTTTGGGAGTAGCGAGAGGTGCGAGTGAGAGTGAAATTAAAAGTGCCTATCGAAACTTATCCCGACAATGACACCCCGACCGCTGAGCCAACAAGTCGGAAACGGAAAAGAAAAAAGCCGAAGCCAAAATGCAGGAAATCAATGAGGCTCATAGTTTTCTATCTGATGAAAAAAAGAGAAGACTTTACGAACAGTATGGTGATAATTGACAAGCACATTATCATGAAGAAACAGAAAAATACTTTTGTTCAGAGTGTTTTGAAGAGATAAAAGAAGGTAAAGTAAAAATAAAAGAAATAAAAGATAGGTTTTTCTGCTCTTGAAATCATGCTAGAAAGTATTGAAATGATAGATATGGAAAAAAGGAGAATGGACCTTGCCGAAGTTGTGGAAGCATCCATAACGAAAATACTACTGGTGTTCCAGAAAGATGCGAATTAATAATAAATGAGATTAGCAAATTAGAAAATTTGACTCATTGATATTTTTTTACTTCTAGGGAAAAAGATGAGTTTATTGAAGAAGTGAAAAGTTCAGGCTCTTTTTATAACCCCCGTGACCTTGATGACTTTAATGGACACCTCAAAAGAACTCTCAAAAAGGCTGAAATGCTTAATGAAAGAAAGAAAAATCTCATTGACCAAGAAAGGAATAATTTTCTCCAACAATTAAAAAATTTGACTGGTTGGAACCTGCTTGGTGAGGAACGTCAAAACGAGATTATTGAGGAAATGAAAAGAAATAAAACTACCGACCAATTTTCGGACGTTCTGGAAATGACGAAAAAAGAAATAGCAAAAATAAAGGGTGGTAATGAAAATGATACAAGTCTCGACGTTGAAATCCGAAAGGCCATCTCGGAAATCGAAGTTGAATTAAACCGAGAACCTAAAATTACGGTTCAAGAACGGCCAAATTTTAACTGAAAAGATTATCTGAAAACGGCTGCTAATTCGAATGAATTACAAAGTCGCAAAAGAGAAATATTAGATGTCATTCGTGCTACCCGCCGGCAAAAAGTCTTAAGTGAGGCTATTCAAAAAATTAAAAATGCTTTGAACCAGCAGCCGGTCATTAAAAATGGAGAATTAAGTAATCCGAATTGAGAAAGTGAACTTAATTCTCTCAGCGAGGAAAATCAAATTATAAGGCTGCGTGACCAAATATTAGGAGAAATCAAACAAAAAAGAGCCAAAAAAGAAATCACTGGTAAATTGGATGAGTTAATTCGTCAAGCCCAGACCGCCATTGCCAAAAATGATTTAATAACTTTAGAGAAATTACTCAACCAAATTGAAACCTATCAGAGCGACTCTGCCTATGAGGAGAGAAAAACTGATATTGAAAGATTATTCCAACAATTAGCCAGTGTCAGTTTGCCGAAATATCGTGAATTGACTATCAATTCGCTGGATGAATTTTTACGTCAGGACCCACCTCTGTCGTTGGACGAACTAGAGAAAGCGAACCAAAATTTTGCCGAACAAATCAAAAATGCGAGTAGCGCGGAGGAAATTAAAAATATTAAAAATTCGGTCTCTAATAATATCAACCAAGGACGAAGCAATAAAATAGTTGTTAACCTCATTAACCAAGCCAAACAGGCTCGGACTGAAGAGGAAAAATCAGCCGTTCGGCAAAAAATTTCCGAATTGGAAAATAGTGGCAACAAGTGAATAAGAGACGCTTTGGCAGCCAAAAAAGATGAATTGCAACGAATTGTTAACTCCTGAGTTTTAGGGGAAATACCAAATACTAATTCGTCCTCCTCCGACAACAAAGAACCAAACAACCATTTACCATTAATTATTTTTCTAGTAGTGGTGATTGGTGGAATAGCGATTATTGCTGGCTGACTGCTTATTAGACGCCGCAAAAGACAGTTATATTACTACAATACAAAAAATTAATGTCCGCTTTCCTACCAACTTTCCCTTACCCTTTCCTTCAACTTTTCCTTGCCCCTAACTATTAGTCAATTTTTATATATTTGAAGTTGCCCACTTGTTAATTTATAAATATTCCTATTGTCTTCCAGTGGCAAACCAACATTAAAGGCTTGTAATTTCATGTTCTCCAAGACAGACCTAGAACAGGAAGCGCAATAAAAGCAAGGAGTAGAATAAACTCCTCTCTTGTCCTTTTCAGAAATTATTAAGTGAATAGCTTGGTAATTAGTTACTTCGGGATCTAACTCATAACAACCTTGACAAGGCAGATCCAGTCCATCATAACCAATGGTTATTTTTGCTTCTTTTGTCATATTTCTTTACTTGGTCTTAATTTCTTTTCCTCTTCGATTTGTTTTCAAAGGTAATTTCACTCCGCACTTCTTTCCATTGAAGCAGTTATGCCATTTTCTAAAATAGAAAAGTTATTTAGTTCCGCTCCCATTTCTTTTCACTTGGCACTAGCACAGGCCTCGCAATAAAACTCAGGAATAATCTCTTCTTTAAAACCATTATTTTTATAGTCAACTATGGTTAGTAAGCGGGCTTGGGTTTATTATCATATTTTCCAAGGGATATCTCTTTTCAGTGTATTTTAGCACAGCCCAAACAAACTTCATTCATGTTGTGATATCCTACTATACATTCTATCCTTTTTAGCATATATTTATAGCCCCTATTTTATATGATTTATTCTGTAAGGACATTCAAAAAATCCTCCTTGGTTAAAAAAGGGAGAGTATATGGCAATTAACCAAGAATTATCACAAAAATTAAAATACATTGAAAGGTTGGTAAAAGATCCTAATTCTTTTTCCAAGGAAGAAATCAAGGACCAACCGAATGATACCCCTGTTATTAAGGCCTTAAAGAATAATATCCGAACCTCAGAAATTATTAAACAAAAAGACCAAGAAATCACTGCTCTTAA